CTCTTCGATTAAAGGGACGCTGACCATGTTAACCTATAATTTGACGAATGATTTGCTGTTTATTATTTAGTTTCACGGCCGTTAAAAAATAGATAAATTAATAATTAAAAATAAACAAAAGATGAAATAAAAAAAGTCGATAAAAAACAAATGAAGCCGGGGGTTCGATTGTTCTTCGAGGATCTCCGGGGAACTTCGGAGACCCTCGGATAGTTTTCGGTTAATCATCGAAGTATATTCGGAGCTCGTACACTCTTCGGAAAATTATCGGAGTCGTTTTGAATTAAAAAAACAGACGTTGAAATATTCCGGCGGAATTCCGGATTCCGGCTTTTCCAGACTACCGTTATCTCGTCTCACGACAAGCGGATTGACATATTGAGCAATTTTGATTATGTCACAAAGGTGAACTTTCAGTTTCCAGTTCATTTGATATATAACGTTTCTGGAAACAAATTAAACCCAACTAAAATTAATGGCTCAGGCCTAGCTATAACCAGCCTTCTTGCGAGGAAACATCTAGCGTTTCATGACTTGGCTGATATATTACAACGAGGCTCTTAACTCAGTGTAAACTACCTCAGAAAATTTCTGAGTCGTTCATGGTTTCAGTAGCACTGCTAGTTAGATGACAGTACTCAGAATTGAGTAAAAGCTTATCGCCTAGATTTGAATCGAATTGTTTTCTTTCCACGATACGATCGTAACCAGCTTTGTCCGCCGCAAAGTTGGCGGTATGCTCCAACTACCAGATCCCGACCATAGTTGTAAATATCAGCGACATTCTCGGTTGATGTCGACTGAAATTTGTGGACACGAAATCATGCAGCATACGACTTTTCATATCTAAGAGGCATTTATCTCACGTGAACTTCTTAACTAACATCGGGGAGTTTGCTCACAAGCCATGTTCCGTATCGCCACATAACTCATACCAGCTTTCTATGATAATTTGTTCTAAAGCAAGAAAAAACTCTTACCACAAAAAGTGCACGTCTACCGGTGTTTGCGCGGCGGAGAATTTGAAGTAATTCACGCATTGCCTGGTTCGTGTTAGCCCTCTTTCAGTTTGTTATTCCCGGGTCATAAATGATTGCCGTGATATTTACAACAGATCTCTATTGGTTCAGATGTCAATAAAGTCCCAATATGATTGGAAGTTGGTTTCTTCGCCTCGCAACGTAATCTGATATAAAAAGAACTCAGATTTCCGAGATTTGAGTCCGCTTTTCTAGGAAAAACGAGTTATTTATGTAACCTTTGATTCCCTGATGCGCGAGATCATTTGAATGGCTTACTAGCGCCTAAAATAATTCCCGACGACTGAGAGAATCGTAAAGTCTTCAGTAAAATTTTCCGAAACCTAAAATGAGAAGGGGGAAGAGCGCTTAGTTGTGCTAAGCCCCTCGATTGTCTCACAGCAGTTTCTGTGTGATCTCAAGGGCTTTTAAGTCCGCTCCGATACCAGTTCAATCCAGATGAGTGCTTTACTAGAATACACAGTTCATATGCGTTATTAACCAAGCATGAGGTCAAGATAGCTGGATATTGGCCAAGTTCTTTTTTTGCATTTTTATGGACCGAGACAAAGTCTAGAAAGAAATAGAGATGAGGCAATAATGATGAAAATTATCCTATCAAACAAACTTGATCATAAAGGGAGTTATTTCATGGCAAAATTATACACAAATTTCATCAGTTTTTCTTTGTTTTAACTGTTTCAAGATGTGTGTATACAGGCCTGTTGTGCTGACAGTACTGGAAAGTTTTCTCTTGAATTGAGGGAAAAAAGGAGCCACTTCTGTTAAGTGCCTACAGCATTTTTTTCTCTCGTCGCGGGATAAAGGTGCTTTACCCATGCCTGTAATGCAATCATGAATACTGGATATACAAATAATTGAAACCTCCCCATGCATGAGTAATGCATGTATACAAAAAGTATGCATATATAGAAAATAACCTCGCGGCGAAAGAAAAAAAGACTCACAGCGAAGGAAAATACCTCACGGCAAAAGTGAGGCTCTTTCTTTTGCAGTGAGTCTTTTTCTTTTTGCCGCGAGGTTTTTTCTTTTGCCGTGGGGTTTTTTCCTTTGGCGTGAGTCTTTCTTTTTGCCGTGAGGTTTTCTCTTTTGCCGTGATTAGTCTTTTTCTTTTGCCGCGAGGCTATTTCTTTTTCCGTGACAGCTGGGCCACCGTAGAGAACTGTTATGACTCGCTCATTTAGGAGAGCCAAAGGGTTCTGAGGATTGTACTTTGAAAATTAGCCCAGCGTATAAGGTAGAAAACAAACAGATCACACTTTATCATCAATCTACAAATTAAAACGTTTAACATTTCTATCTTAAACTTCTCCTCAGGCCTGCAATTTGAGGTCAATCTCTACCACTTTGGACACTGCTGTTGTGCGTCTTGTCATCACCTCATTCAACTCTACATCAATCTACAAAAGTGTAGAGAAGCCAGGTGAGCCTTACACGTGGATTATTAACCCCTAGGGGACTGAGGGGGGTGGGGGTTTTTTGACTCAATTGGTGACATGACATTACTAATTAGGCCACCAAATTTTTTTAATATGGCAGAAAACAATAAAACTAACATTTTTAGAAAGAGGAGATTTTGTACTTTCATTTGGTGCAATGAACTAATACATGTGTCTTACAGAAAAAATATGAAAAATCCAGAAAGGTAATAAAACAGATTTTTTCCCCAACCGTCCTCAAATTAGAGAACAGAACTGAAGTGAAAATTTTGTCAACACAATAACTGTACACAAAATCAAATTCTATATACACAGAACACTTTTCCTAGCACAAAATAAAACACTACTGTTCTTCTTTTAACCATATTTAGTTGCAAACTTGATGTCAGTCAGTAGTCTCAAAATCATTTTAGTGTTCACTTGAATCAACCTNAACCACTGCAAAATTCCCATAAATAATCCGCAAAATTATGGATTTAACATACCTTTCCCGAAAGTTCTTCAGTAATTCCTCTGTCGTGTTATCAAGGGAACTGGGTTAGAGAAGCTAAATTATGGATTTAACATACCTTTCCCGAAAGTTCTTCAGTAATTCCTCTGTCGTGTTATCAAGGGAACTGGGTTAGAGAAGCTACTTCCGGACAAATTCTGAGTATTTCCCCGGATGTGAGGTATCGGGCAACAAGTCAGTTCAAGGCAGGTGGTCTCATCTGGTTAAATAAAACGGACATTTCATCGACACAAGTGAAGACTAGAAATCTGATGGCGACCCAAGGAAAGGACAAAACAACCGACAGAACGTGGCAAATCTCAGGACATGTAAGTATCTCAAATAGCTGTAAAACGAGAAGACTACCGAGAAGACTTTTTCTTGCAGAAATATCAAAGTAGGATAGATCGGCACCTCACGAAACTCCAGGGAAAATTTTTTTATAAGCGAAAGAAACAGCATTTTACTCATTGAATCAGCAAATTATGTAGATACGTTGGTACAAACTTAATAACTTTACAGCGGCATCCACCGTCGCATAATTCATATCAAAACTTTTCCCTGCAAACGGAAGAATCCTACTAAGGGCCAACGAATCCTCAAGAACCGAAGCATTTAATACCCACGAAGAGTTTCAAGACTTCCTCGATAAGATAAGCAACACATAAATTTTGCATCTTTTCTTTTTATTAACCCTCATGCACTTATTCACTATTATTCATTATTGTAACATTTATTTACAACTCACTCAGGTATTGACTCTGATGACTCACAATAGCCTTCAAGCATTACCCTTTTTTAGCTTAAATGATACAGGGTTTCGTATTCTAACAGGATCAAGTTATTTACAACTTCCAAATTTGAAAGACCTTGACTTATACAACATATTACCTAATCCCGATAAATTTGATGAAGCTGACCCTGATCATATGCTAATTAGTCCTGAATCTCACTACTATGATATTCCTAGTTTAAATACAGTCCTAAGCAAATCGGGAAAAAATACTATTTCATTCCTTCATTGTAATATCAGAAGCTTACCTAAACATTTAAATCTACTTGAGGATTTCCTATGTTCCTTAAATACACGACCATATATCATAGGAATCACAGAAACTAGGCTGAATAAGAATAATTTATAGTTAACATCAAACTACCCAGCTATAGAATCTTCCATAATGATTCTCCAACCTCTGCAGGAGGGGCAGCCCTTTATATTCGCAAATCTCTAAAATCAGTCCCGAGACCTGATATTACTTTGGATATCCCCCTAGTAGAATCTGTCTGGGTTGAAATAGCTCAGTCTTTTAACAAAAAGCCCATCTTAGTTGGCTGTATCTATAAACACCCAGGAGCAAACATCAAAGAATTTAAAGATAAATTTAATGAGACAACTAAACAATTCAATGCTAATAAGTACCAATTATATATCCTTGGTGAAATGAATATAGATTTATTTAAATGTAATACTCATCCCCCTACAGAAGCTTATCTTGATATGTTGTACTCTGATAATTAATCTATTACCTGTAGTAACAAAACCAACACGACTAACTTACCACACTGCTACACTAATTGATCATATTTACACCAATAGCTCAAGAAATGTTTTCTCAGGGATTTTAACTGTTGATATCTCGTACCACCTTCCACTCATTTGTATTGTAGATATACCAGTTAAAAAAAGGCAAAACCTAGATAGATGCTATAGAGACTATTCCAATTTCAATCAGGAATCTTATCTTCAGGATATCAATGCAATCAACTGGAATGCTATCAAAAGTGAATGTGTAGACTTGCATGAGATAACATCTAAAACAATTGATCTTCTCAAATCAATCACCAATAGACATGCACCTATTCGACGTACGTCCAGAAGGAAACAAAAATTATCCACTAAGCCCTGGATAACAAATGGCATTTTAAAATCAATCAAAACTAAACACACTATGTACAAAACACATTTTATGCCTTTCTCTCTCTGCCCAAAACAAATCTACAAATGGTGCTCTTGCCTGAGCTCTGTTTACTGGGTGCCAAAATATAACAAACTTAAGTTGGAGCAATATGGCTATATGGACAATAGGTCCATAGCCGCTTTTATTGAAACAAACAGAACAAGAATGAATTCCATTAAGGTGTTTGCTCAGTTAAGGTGCGGGCCAAGAAAAATGCACCAACACTAAATATACAACAAGAGAAAGTGGGCGGATCAGGGGAAGGAGGAGGGAGTCAAAAAACAGCTTCTCACTCCGAGTAATCAAGGCGAATGATGAGCACAAGGTTAGGGAGTTAATGTGACTTGTACAAACCCTCAGAGGGGGTCAAGCGTAATGGCCATTGACCCCTGACCCAAACCCAGTCCCCCTTGATTGTGAAATAAACCCAGGTCAAAGAGAGAAGGTCTAAAAATCTTATTTGCGAGCAAATATTTTGTTTATACCATTCTCTCTCTGCCCAAAACAAATCTACAAATGCTGCTCTTGCCTGAGCTCTGTTTACTGGGCACCAAAAAATAACAAACTTAAGTTGGAGCAATATGGCTATGGACAATAGGTGCATAGCCGCTTTTATTGAAACAAACAGAGCAAGAATGAATTCCGTTAAGGTGTTTGCCCAGTAAAGGGGCGGGCCAAGAAAAACGCCAAAAGCAATGTGAAATAAACCCGGGTCAAAGAGAGAAGGCATAAAAATTTTATTTGCGAGCAAATATTTTGTTTCTTTCTAATAATCCGGATAAAGTGGCGAAATATAAAAAGTTTGCTAATAAACTAAACTGGCTTAAAAGTGTGAGTAAGAAGACCTATTTTTCTCAGCACTTTGACCAATGCAAGAATAATCTGAGGGCATCTTGGAAGTTAATTGGTACAATACTAAATCACAGCCATAAGGGGCAGAACCCCATTTCAAAAATCGTGCATAACAATATGAGTCTACACAGATAAAACTGATATTGCAGATCAATTTAACAAACATTTTGTTAATGTAGGTCCAAATCTAGCCCACAAGATTGGACACTGTGAAGGAAATCCTACCCAGTTCATTAAATCAACCCCGGTAGACAGCTTTGTTTTATCTTGTGTTACTGAAACCCAAGTCTGCTCATTATTGAAATGCTGAAAGGACCACAAGTCATCCTTAGGTATCCCTAACAAATTAATCAAAATAGCTGCTCAACCATTGTCAATACCTCAAACATAAAACAACCAGTCTATAGAAACTGGTATTGTTCCTGATATATTAAAAGTCTCTCAGGTGTCTCCAGTATATAAAAATGGAGATGCTACAAACCCCAGCAATTATCACCCTATAGCAACTCTCTCACCATTCACTAAAATACTTGAATGACTAGTCTACAATCAACTATATAATTTATATTCCTTCATAGAAAAACATCAAATCCTATAATTATAAATATCAATTTGGATTCAGGAAAGGGTACTCCACTGAACAGGCTATTCTTGAAATTACAGACAATTTAAAGCTAGCAATCGATAGAAAACAAATCACACGTGGTCTATTTCTTGATTTGTCAAAGGCCTTTGACACAGTAAATTACAGCATTCTACTGTCTAAGCTCTCTTTATATGGCATTCGAGGAGTTTCACATAAATGGTTTGAGAGTTATTTTCAAAATGGTAACCAATATATCAAAATTGATTCCACTAGATCTGCCAATGAAAATATAACATGTGGCATACCTCATGACTCAACTCTAGGTCCACTCTTATTTCTACTCTATGTTAATGATTTACCAAATTGCACTCACCAATAAACTCTCAGTGCGGATCTTTGCTGATGATACTAACATGTTTTTACTAGTGACAACCCACATCATCTAGAATCTGTTATGAATCATGAACTTAAACAAATTTATAGATACTGTGCACTAAATAAGTTGTCTATTAATTTTGCCAAAACTAATTACATGTTAATTTCATCTTCTAGATAACACCCCACGATAAATATTGAAAACATTGAATCAAAGAATTATATAAAATACCTGGTAGTCTATATTGATAAACACCTAAATTGGCAACCGCAAATACAACATATAAACAATAAAATAGCAAGAAACATTGGAATTCTTACTATATTGAGACATTATGTCGAATTTAATATGTTAAAGCAATTATACTATGCTTTGATATATCCCTATTCAAGCTATGGTATAACTACCTTGCCACCAATACTAACTTAAAATGCCTCTGTATTAAGTAGAACAAAATTTGTAGCATCTTCTTTACAAATGCTAGAGAGAATGCCAATCCCTATTATAAACTATTTGGAATTCTAAAGTTGAAAGCTATTTATAAATTCAGAATATGCTGTCTTACGTATAAGATTAATACTAAAAGTGATAGCATTCCAGATATCTTCCTTGATATCCTGACCCCAGCATCTGAAAAACATTATTATTATTATTATACAAGATTTTCTACTAATAACAACTTTTTTGGACCAAGAGTATCCACCAACATGGGAAAATCATCTTTTATATTCTCTGCTTCAAAGATATGGGAAACTGTACCCACTTATCTTAAATATATGCCAATATTACAATAATTTCAAAAGAGAATGGAAACATCAACTTTTACTCAACCAAACCTGATCATTTTACTTTGCTGCTGATCTACTCTTAAGGAAAAATGTAAACTTCAAAAACTTCAACTTTTGTTCAAAAGAACCTAATCAGTTTATTTACTTTACTGCTGATATACTTTTATTATAGGCTGCTATCTATTTATCTATTTATATGACCATTACGGTGTCCAACTAGAAAGCCTTTGCTACTTTGGACACTGTGCGCCTCTCAAACTTATCTTTATAGCCAAATATTACTATTATTTTTTCCTCTTTCTCTTACTTTTCATTGTATGTTAACTTCTATTAATAGTGTGAAATAAATAAAGTTCAAAGTTCTGCAGAAATATCTCAATAGATGTGATCTTCACATCAGAGAAGCTTTGAGGAATATATTTGTATTTAAGAAGAGAGCATTTCACTGTTTAAGTTAGCGGCTTTAGCCAGAAAGAGCCGCTAAATTTGCGAAGCGAGCAAGATATTGTAAGTTGTTTACAAGTTCTTTGTAATGCTATAAAAATTGTGCTTTATTTGTTACCAGCAGCCACATGCAATCTTTGATTGTCTATTTTTACTAACGAGAACAGCTCGTGATGGGCTGACAATTAATTTAAGGCATTCGGAATACAAAGTTCAGTTCACCAGGTCAAGTTACCAAACTTTAAAACTGTCCTAAATAATTGAATTTAAATGCTACTATTAGCCTTGAAATTGAAATCTGAACTTGTCACTGTGTTCCTTCCATTTGTGTCAACAAGATAATATTCCAACCATTTTCATTTAATGTTTTGTCTGCATATAGACATCTGTACCTCTTTCCAAAATGGTGGTTTAATTGCTTGTCTGGCCTCTACAACACGCTTCTCAAACAATAGAAGCAAGACCATGTGGGCTGATTTTGTCTTCATGAATATGAATGATAATCATAAAAATTACAATCTCCTTGATTGTTATTGATTTAAAAGACTCCTGTTTTCCACTAATTCACTTGCCAAATTATCTGCTCTTATGAGTGAGTTGTATTAGAGACTTGCTCAGGTAATTGACTTTGGGAGATTATGTGTCCTAGGAAAATTAATTTCCCAAAATGTAAAAATAATTCTTCATAAAATTCCTTGAATTCTTCAGAATTTTAGTAGAGTCCATGAAGTTGAGATTTCCAGTGAACAGTCAACTACCACCAAGGATTTTTAATGGTTAAAAAAAAAAGCTTCTATATTCCTTGGTTGTTTTGTCAAAATATTTGTTTATCCATGAAGCTTTGAGAGCTCCACTACATTTATGGATATCTGTCATTTTTAGGCTGCCTTCCAAATAATTTTTGATCATTATAATCTCTCATTTGATTTTGTTACCTTTTCCATTCCAAACAAAGGAATAGAAGAGACGATTAACTTCCTTACTGGCTTTCTCATGGGTGCACAATGGGGGTCATGATGTTAACAAGCTCTGAGGCAACAATACCCTATAAGACTGTAATTTTTCCTGTCAAAGTTGACCAATGATAATTCCAACAGCTTAGGATATTTTGTATTTTGTCAAGTTTTTAAGGCCACCGTGGACTCAGCATGACATTTTATAGTACAGTGGAGTCCCAGTAACATGCAAATTGACAGCCTTTTAGACCCAACCAATTGAATACATAATCTCATGTTTTAGTGCTATCCTTGTGTCCCCTGACTTTTAGAGTATTAGTGCATTTAGTTTATTTATGTGACCAGTTCTCTTGCAGTTTCTTGTCCATACAGACTGCTTGATCTTGGCTCACATATAAATTTTGCAAAGATCCAGGTTGTTTTGTGCAGATAGTTTTCTGACAGATTGGGTCTGTTCAGTTACATATCGTAGATGACATTGATTTTGTTGTGGAAGACGAAATCTTCCAGAGTAGGGTAGTCACTGAGAGAAGCTAAGATTAAAGTCTGATGAGCACTGTCATGTATTGTAAATTCACCACCTCCCAGTTAGCTGAATCGATAGAGGGTTGGACTGTTGTGCGGGAGGTCGAGGGTTCAAGTCCTTGTTGGACCAACACTTAAGGTCTTAAAATAATTGAGAAGAATATGCTACCTTTCTATAATATCAAGAAATGGTT